GTTTTCCATTTTGATTATAACTCCCTTCTCCTCCCCCAAACTGTCTCTTCCTCTGTCTTTCTGTCTCTCTCTCTCCCATCTCTCCCTCCCTGTCTTTCTCTTCTGTCTCTCTCTCCCCCACCTCTCTCTTTCTCTCTGCCCCTTTGTCTTTCTCCCTCTCCCATCTCCCCTTCCTGTCTCTGTCTCTTTCCCCCATCTCTGTCTCTCTTACTCTTTTCTCTCTCCTCGCCTCTCTCTGTGTCTCTCCCTCTCCCATCTCTCCCTCCCTGTCTCTCTCCCTGTCTCTGTCTCTCTCCCATCTCTCTCTGTCTCTCTCTCTCCCTCTCTTTTGCCCTCTCCCTCCCTGTCTCTCTTCCTCTCTCTGTTTCTCTCCCCTTCTCTCTCCCTCCCTGTGTCTCTCCCTGTCTCTGTCTCTCTCTGCTCCTTCTCTGTCTCTTTCCTGCTCCCATCTCTACCTCCCCGTCTTTCTCCCTCTCTCTGTCTCTCTCTCCCATCTCTGTCTCTTTCCCCTTCTGTCTCTCTGTGTCTCCTCTGTCTCTCTGTGTCTCTGTTTCTCTCCCTCTCTCCTCCTGTCTCTCTCTCCTTCTCTCTCTGTCTCCTTTCCTCCCTCTCTCTGTCTCGCTCTCTCCCTGTCTCCCTGTCTCTGTCTCTCTCCCCCCCACACTTTCTGTCTCTGTCTCTCTCACATTTTTACCCTGGCACCATCTCTCCCTTCTTTCTCATAGAGACTCACCTTTCCTGCCCAGAGAGGGCAGGTGGTGGCCTGGCCTGTCGACTTTGAGTCTCCCTGGGTCTCTAGGGCACTGCAGTGGCCTCACTTGCCTGAGGATGGATGTGCCATGTGCAGAGGCAGTGGGCTATGGGGCTGCCAGCTGTCACTCAGGTGTCCAACAGTGGAGCTGGTGGCTAGTGAATAAATAGCCACAAATATCTCTGTTGTCTCTTTAAAGCCACACATAGTCAGGTCTGAGGCCTGAGTCCGAGTTGGGTTTTGGGGGTTTAATCAGCCCTCTACTTTGTCTCTCAGCCTGATTGGGGCCATCAGTGGGTTTTGGGGACTCAGCACCTAAAGGCCAGTGACTGGGTGAGAACAAGACCCACACGGCCCCTGCTCAGGCTCAGTGTCGTGGAGGCCCTGCCTCCCTGCCCACCCAGCTCCTGGGAAGGTGGAACAGACGTCCAAGATCCAGCCTCAATGATTTTGGTTGAAACCAGAATTCATCAACACCTGCATTGCTACCCCAGGGGAGTATGGCATTTGGGGGTGTGGGTGAGTTTGAAATAAAACCCAAATTTGCTGTGCTGATCAAGAGTGCTGGTCTGCAAAACATCTCCGTCCTTCCTCTTCCAGCACATGGTAGACTTCACCTCCCACCCCACCGCTGTGCTGGGGGCATCCACATGGCACTCTCTGTCCAGTGCACTTTGAGTGGAAATAGTACTTCTAGGCTGGACATCTAATGGCAAGGGGAGACCCCCAGTTGACATGTAGCATGTGTGAGAAATAGCTCTCTTTGGCACAGCTGTCAGCCACATTCACTCTGGCTGTGCTCTGAGCGACCACAGCAGCAGAACACGCCTGTTGACCCCCAGTGGACATGTAGCATGTGTGAGAAATAGCTCTGTACTGCCCCAGCCATCAAGCTTTGAGTGAGCATCACTTGTTTCTCAGTATAACCCAACCTGTCTGACTGGTCCCTGATGATGTTAGAATATGGCCTGCTGTGTGCTCAGGTGGAGCTAGGGAAGAGAAAGGCCCTTGTTTCTATGGTACAGAAAAGAAGCACATTAGCGATGTTTGAGTTTCAATCTGTGGTTCAAGGAGAGAGCAAGGTCCTACTAGGAGTGAATTCTCCTCAGATTTGTGCAAAATAATCAAGTCTCAGCTCCCAGGAGAGTTTGACCTCATTCATAGGAAAGAATCCGGCACTTCCTTTCACTGAGCTCATTTTATATTTCCACAGCTTGGTCTTGTGTCCACACAAGGACCTGCCCTTCCCAGGGTGTTGCAGTGAATGGGCACTGACTCCCCCCTCTGTCAACTCTCTGCAGGGGACTTCTTCAGTATTAGGAGGGTTCCGGGGGGGGGGGGCGGTCAGGGCTCATCGAGGATGGTGTGTGTGTATGTGGGGGCACCATGGGTCTGTACAACTTCCAGAACAATAGTGCCCAAAGCAAGGTGTGGCTGTCTCCATGGGCATGCCTCTCACCTCACAAATCACAGCTGAGCATTCAGGACATTAAAAAAAAATCAAACAATTATTAATTTTCTGGAATATCAGATGCTTTGTCGTCCCCCCCATACAACCCCCCCCAACGTTTTCCCATGTCCCATGTGCTTGTCTTTCCAGAGGAAACCAACCAAATCTTGATGTGTGGTCAGGATGCATCATTTCCTACTACATTGCAGCATGCAAGCAAAATGTATTTACATGAACAAAATAATGTTTTCTCCTGCAATACCACTTTAACATCACTTTCAATAAACATATAATGAAAAGTGCTTTTTTTTGAGCAATAGTGGCTAATAAATTTGATTCTGGAGTCGAATCATCTGGGCCTGAATCCCAGATTCATGTTTTGCCATCAGTGTGTCCTTGAACAAGGGATTTGCCATTTTATGCCTCAGCTTCCTCATATGGGAAATTCAATAATGCCCAGTTTGGACCTTAATGTGGTTGCTATTAGGATTAATCAGCTAATACCCATTGGAGACCAAGAAGAATGTCTGGCAGTATCTTAGCACTGCATACATGTGAGATGTCCCAAAATGTCCTTATAAAACTGGGAGACACCTTACAGCCTGGCATTTTATAAACAGAAAAATAAGTTTTTCTTAAGGAGGGACATGGGAATGGTTATTCATCAAAAATAGACCAGTGTTTATGAAACTGGCTGCACTGTAAGATTCTCCTGGAGTAACAACTAAAAACAGTATTCCCAGGCTCCATCTCAGAACACAATTTATATGGTAAACACCCTGTGGACAGCTGGCCTCTGTCCCAGTGACCAGGTCCTTCCTTTTGGTGGTCCTCTGAATTTCTTAAGACAAATGTCCTGAGAAAGAAAAGAATAGCTTGATGAAGAAAGGAACAATGGGCCTGTTAGCGCTTGCCAGCATCTGCCAAGAGGTAGAAACAATCCTCCAAGCTGGAAAAGCTGGTGTGCCTGAGGTCAGGAAATGTGTTTGGAGAAGAGAGTACTGAATTGGGCACACCCATGCACACGGACATGTGTACCCACAGACACATGCATATACACACAAACACACACCCACAGACTCACACAGAGACACGTGCACACACTCATGCACACATAGACACATGTACACAGACATGCGCACACACGAACAGATATATGTGCACACAGACACATGGACCCATGGACCCAGACTTACACACAGACACCCACACATGCTTGCACAGACATACACACACTCATGCACATACAGACACATGTATACACAGACATGCACATACACTCAGGTTTACATGCACACATACACATATGCACAGATACATGTTCACACACAGACAGATCTATCCATACTTACACAGACACAAGCACATGCATACACAGACAGACACACACACACACTCATGCACATGTGCACAGATACATGTTCACACACATGGACACACAAACAGAACTAAGAGCCATGAAGCCCCAGAGAACTTGTCCTACTCGTCTCTTGTACATTGAGAACCTGGCACAAAGTAAACGCCTAATAAATGTTCTGTCATTTATTCATTTAACAAATATTTATTGAATCAGCTGTGTGTTTGAATTTGTTTCAGACACTGGAGATACAGCAGTGAACCAGATAGAAACTGATGCTTTTTAGGTGCTTAATTCTTTGAAACCAAGTTTAGCATCAGCTCTGTGACTTTGCTGATGTCTGTGTCCACTCAAGACTCAGCTGTCTCTTCTACAAAATGCCACTTTGGGACCAGGTTAGAGAGTGGGGTGGGAGTGAGGCCACCTGTCTTACCTGGTGGGGAGTAGGCTGTGCACAGCCTGGTCCAGGCGGCCTCTGCCTCTTCTGGTGGTTCCAGGTTGGACCTGGTGGTGCAGCCATGGGCTGGGGGAGTGGGCAGGGCCAATGGAATATCAAGCCTTCTCCACTGGCCTTGGACTCAGCTGTTCCTAAATCCTCAGCCCAGAGAGGGGGAAGAAAGGAAGGCTGGGTTAGGGAGACTTAAGGAGGAATGGGCAGGTGCCCACCTAGGTGGCTCTGACTGGGTCCCGCCCCACAAAGACACCTACCCCGACCATCCATTCAGACACCACAGTCCTGAGAGGGACTCCAAAGGCCCCAAGTTGGGGTCTGTTCCGACCGCGCTGGCTGCTGGGAGCCGCGGGCGTCCGAGGGGTCGTGGGGAGCAAGGGTCTGAGCCCTCCGCCAAGCCCCTCTCGGAAGCCCTAGGACTTGGCTCCACAGCGCACCCGCCACGCCCCCGGCCCTGCCTGACCTGGACCCCCGGGTGAGCGGACCCAGGGGCGGGGACCAGCGGGCTGGGGGCGGCGGGCGCGGGGCGGTCCCGGCCGGCGGGCGGGGCGGGCGCGGGGCGCCG